GTGGTACAACAAGGTCGAGGACGGGGCGGCATGGTTCATGAGGAAATGGCACAGGCAGGAGGCGGAAGCGTCCGCGAAGCGCCAGCGCGCGAGGGAAGCAGAAGCAGGGAGTACGGCCATCTCAGGACCGAAGAGAAAGAGAGCCGGGGAAGCGGCGGTGGGGGGGAAGAAACGGCGACCGGGCACTGCTGTAGAAGCGAGTAGGGCGGTCGAGGCAGCACTTGTGGCGAACTATCTACCCGGCTGATGTTGTTGCGCCCTGTTTCCTTCCCTGCTGTATGCGATACTCATTTATATAGATCCTTTGTATTGCCTTCGGCCTCTGTGCTGTGTTTCTTTTTTCATCACCTCCCTGCCTACGCTGCTATGTTGGGTACCGTGATCTCGCTTTGCTGTTGCCTTTGTTTTTGTACGTCTGGCTGTCTGCCCATCTGCCGCCGCTTTGTCCTGTTTGCTCCGTTACTCCCATGACCTGGTGCGTAGTGCCTGGTGCTAGTACNTGGCGGGTGTGGGAAGCGTCCTCCTTTATTATTGTTTTTGTTTTATTTTGATCGGTTTCCGAGGGCTCTTTTCTCGAACGGTCGGTGCGGTACCTGTTCTTTTCTTTCCATCATTTCGTTTTCTTTTTCCGAGCGGTTTGTACCCTATTTCGGTTTTGTTTCCCGGCGGCGTCGTATGTGCCGGGTTTTTAGACCACGGGCTCCCCATTTATTGTGGACTATGGAGCTAATGTGAGAAACAAAAAATAAATGTTTATGCTCTTGTTCTTAGCTCCAACTGGCATTGCTGACAACTCAGTGTTAGACTTACACAAACTCATAAGCCAAGTCTCCAGTTGGTTTCAATCCACTTTTCTGAAAAGACTTCACCACATCCCTTTCGACTGAGGTTGTATGAACGGGTAGTCTTTCTGTGAGGTTATGTTTACTTTCTAACTATTTCAAAGAGATATAGCTCTATCCGCCCGGATGGTATCTTGGGCCAAGGGTTCAACTACCTATAGCACAGCGTTGTCGTTCACACAGGGTTGTTCACTTGACCAGCACGTTGGATACTTGCAGCGCTAGAAAATTTGACAAAACAACAACTCGTTTGCATGCAATAGTATCCCAAGAAAAATCGATGTTTTGTGTACATGTTCGAACTGCAGTAATGTACATAACGGCTGACTGAGCAAACACCGCATATCGAGGAGCTCCTGTATGGTGTGGGCCCCAGCTTGCGCGTTCAAACCTATCCAATTGTACTACTGAAGATAAGGTGGTAGAAACCTGTCGAATGCCTGCTCTAGCATCTTTCTTCGACCTTCAAATCTGGAAATACCAAGATCGGGTCGAGCTGGTGACCAGGAGGGTGGCTGGGGGAGTGCATGAGGGAGCCCATAGCTGATTCCTCCACAGGGTTCGCGACACTAAGAGTATGCCGCTGCTGTATGACGGCCACTTTGGCAGATGATCTCCTGATTCAGCAGTGTGTGAAAACAGCAAAATGAACAATATCTCGGCCAATGCACGAGAGATGTGCAGCACCTTGCCGAGGGACATGAAGCGAAGTATTGCAAAAAGGCATCCCCTCCATTACTCTTGCGTGGCCAAACGGCACCATACCGAAAAACTGGCAGCACCCTCCGGCAATGAAGTTAATTCGCGGCTGCCTCGCTTTCTGGACCTTCGGAGGGAGGGAGGATTGCTGTACCATCAACCATTCACTCATATACAAGGGAAGCTTCTGGAATTTCCTCATCCACCCGTAGTAGTCCTGCTGCGGACCGTTGACGCGAGACAAATGACATTGCTCTCCACTCCATCCTGTGTTGTGCGTGTGCAGGTTGATTATACATGCCGTCTTGCATAGAGATCGAGTGCCCGTCCTTGCGACAATTCCGCAGTCATAGAGAGGGTAGCCTTTCTCCAGCGGTGGTAGCAAGAACCTCGGGGAGCGTTGCCGGTAGCTTCATCTCTCGCTTTACCACGCATCGCATCAGGTGATACGCGATGGCCCACTTCGCCGAAACAATGAACGTGGCAGGTTGTTGTATTTTCAGCACATAAAACAGCGGGATACGCACAGGAGAGGATGGACAGAGAGGGTAGAAATGGCATGATGAGAGGGGGGGCGTCAGTTTGTCTCGTTCTGTGGCTTCTTCAGGAGGCACTGCAACTCAATCCTCATCGCACGACACCCCCCGTCACACCCAAGTACCACCTTTTAGTTTGTAATCGCAGTACAATTTCACGGGGCATGTCAAACACCGGAAGCAGTGGAACTCTGAAACGAGAAGCTGCGTGCGTGTTTGCACGTTACCAAGTTGGAGCACGGGAGAAGAGGGGACTAGTCCTTCCTTGTCGATGCTAAGGTTCCGTAGCGATTTGTCGAAGCGTCCCCCGCGTAGATTGGAGTCCTGCCAATTGTGGTGCCTGTTCGTGTTCACCTTTAAACCCTACGAATCGACGCGGGCAGTCCTCACCTCCTCCCTAGTAAGTCGGCCATCCCGATCGATGTCAGCCATCTTCCACAGGTCTCCCAGCTGAGCCTCCCCGAGATGGTTTCCGACAGCCTTCTTGAGGACTGGCCTCGCCTCCGCGCTAGACAGAAACCCATCACGGTCTTTATCCAGCTTCACGAAGGCCTTGCCGCCCAGGGCACCGGAAACGGGTTTCAGGATAGAGATAGGGATGAGGTTGAGGTGGAGGGGCGAGGCTCCGCGTGATCAGTCGTGGCCCATGCAATGAAGTCAGGCATTGTCGAACAGATTTTCGAATCTGTGTACAATGGTGAGAGCCAGGGAATCACGGCCATAGGCAGACGTTTCTTTTGTCTGACCTTACCAAGTTGTGTACAGCATTTCAGGAATATGAAGTGCTAGGGCGGGCAAGAGAGATAAACCCCGGGCTGGGAGTGAGTCAAGCGATGAAGATGTGCGGCCCCACGAGAAAGAACCCGTCTGTCACTTCCTTACAAGGCCATCGCGGCACACACGGTGTGGAAGTTCACGGGAGGGGGCGGGAGTGCTCCATGCGTGTACGGCGTGTGGCACTTTCTCGGCGACGACCTAGCGCTGACGCCGTGGACATCGCGCTTTTGCACGTGGATGGGATGGATTCCGTCTTCTGGCTTCTCTACTGCTGTTCTTTACTTTCCAGGGGAATGGAAAGATGTGAGAGCAGCAACCCTTGATAGTGTCAAAAGGCGATCGGCGTCTCCTACGGAGATCGGTACATCGTTCGTGGATTTGAACTGGCAACGACGCCAACAAAGCGTCACATTCGCTAGAACGCGACATTCCCGGAGTGCGCATGGGAGTTGCCTACACGCACGAACGGTTGAGCCACGCACCACAATGACAAATTAACACTTTCACGCCGCGGAAGACGGGGCCACCAACATCTCACCTTGTCGTAAACCCGTCGGTCGTCAAGACTCATCGCCCATTCGTGGGGTGTGTCCTCGGCTAGTCGCCGCACGTCGTCCGCCTGTGCCTATCACACCGTTCATCGAAAAGCAATGAAACAGGGCACACCGATTATTTGTTTCGGCCAATGTTGTTGTTGTTGTTGTTGTTGTTGTCGTGGTCGGTAACATTGGCCTGGAGTGCAAAGCGGTGGAGCCACTGCCCTAGTGCCCCGGATTTTTCCCTCAACCAGATTTACAAGAGGTACCCCACCCCCGCGTCATTCCCCCCATCACCATGAACGGAACGAAAATTAAACAACAAAACGTGTGAGACCCGGACAACCCAATCGTTGATTTAGTCGGGAAACTCAAAACAAAAAGGCTGGGATATGCACCCATTGAAAAAAGGGACCGATCCGAGCACCTGTGGTGTTGTATTGGACTTGATCACCTGAAACCTAGGCCACGCACTGCTGTCCGCGCAAGGGTTTGGTCCTCCGTGACCGCGGTCGAGTAAAACACTTCGGGAATGTTGGAACATTTTCATCGTCCTTTTACTCGAATGAAGTTTGGGAACAATAAGGCTGTTGCTGTGGCAGGGAGTCATACCCGTGTTCTGTCTTCCCTACTTCATTCTCTCAATGCCGTCGCTAGGTAGTGGTCTGCATTTGTCGTTTTACGACCATTTTCGAACTCTAGATAGACACTTGTTCCTTGCTGTGGAAGTAAATATCGCGCTTGCCAAGACCACCGAATTCAGCCAGCCGAAGGACAAAATGAACAGGGCAAGACGAGATTAACGGCAGCCCAGCTGTGAGTTCATGACAGCTGTGAAAACCCTGTTTTTCGCAACCCTCTTTGCCCTTGACCTGTCGTCGAGGCGACCTTAATCGAGACTGAATTGCCACCTGCCCCTTACCGTACAACCAGGAGGGTATTTCCACCAACGAGGAAGCACGCCTTGCGTGTTTGCCTTGTGGTCAATGTTTGCTTGAGAAAATGCCACAACAACGAACCATTTTTTTTTCACTTCGGGATGTTGCTGGAGGAACAATGCCTATTGAGAAGGCAGGGGGCTCCCCAAAACGTCTGGGTTCATCATCGACCCGAAATAGGAATCATCAAAAATAGCAGTCCAACGCGAAACTGGGCTGGAATTCTAACAAACTTCGACGTAGGTGGGCGCAGACGGCGGTCCGTTCCTTACCTTCGCGACGGCCGCCAGAGCTTCAGCACGGTCTGGCGGGAGGGCTTTGAGAATGTCGGGCAGCATCCCAGCGAGCTTGTCCCCAAACACCTCAAGCAGCACGTTCTCGTAGTACTCCCTCGCGCCCATGTCACCCCTCTTGTAAGACGCAGTGGCGTCTTTCAGCCCAACCTGCGGAATAGATCGGCGTCGCGCTGTTTTTCGGGTGGTCCCGTGGCTGTCGGAATCGATCGAAGGTGTTGCTGGATGACAAAGCGACAGAGTTTCAACATGACGCCGTGTGCTCTCTTACTGTGTATCTTTATGCCATTACAAATCTCATAATGCGCACGAAGCCAGATGGCTGCTTGCGCCGTGTGCAGAACTCACTCAACGATTCGTCAGTAAGCAAGCAGCAACCAGTACATCCATGTCCTCACCTGCCGCGGGGCCGGGCTCGTCGCCGACTCGCTGAGGGCCTCGAAATCCAATCCGGCCGCCTCAGCTAGCTCCCGAGCCTTCTCCGGAGGCAGCCTCGGGAGCAGTTTAGGCCACATCTTCGCGAGCTCTTTCTTTCCGAAAGCCGCCTGGGCGGTACGAGGCAGCAGAGGGGGCAGTGAGAAACAGGAGTGGATTATTACGAGTGAATTGGATCAATGGGCGTCAATCACTCGCGCAACAGAGAGCGGACAGAGCGGGCAGGAGGTCGGGTCACATGTTGGGGTACTAGCTCTTTAATAATTCTCCCTGGCGAAGATTACAGGTTGACAAAGGATCAAACCGCTGGCAAGTATATGCGCAGGAGGAAGAATGACATGACAAACAGGATTGCACCGTTGATTCTGCTGAAAGGAGTTAGCCAGCCGCCTAGAACAGCTCTTCGCGAGATCCCTCATCCCAGGTTCTTGAGACAGGGAGTAGGTAGTGTGAATGGATACCAGATGGGTATTGTGCAGCAATGTCGCATTGTCAGGTAGAAAGGTTTGCGAAAGCTACCCTCATCGGCGCCGTTCCTGGGAGAGAACAAAGCGCAAGACACACAACGAGGAGTAGAAGACTGAGACGATAAAAAACGCAAAAGGCCGGAAGCAACTCGTCATGTATGTAGGCTCGAAAACATGTCACGGTGTCCTCGAGCCCACCTCGCATGCCCTCAATACAGCGACCATTCGCCACGTATGCCAATCGTTGCGAGAGGCGTCGTTCTTCGTCTCGCAGGGCTTGTAAAACCAACTCAGACGTCAAAGCCATGCCGTCATGTATGTAGGCTCGAAAACATGTCACGGTGTCCTCGAGCCCACCTCGCATGCCCTCAATACAGCGACCATTCGCCACGTATGCCAATCGTTGCGAGAGGCGTCGTTCTTCGTCTCGCAGGGCTTGTAAAACCAACTCAGACGTCAAAGCCATGCCGTCATGTATGTAGGCTCGAAAACATGTCACGGTGTCCTCGAGCCCACCTCGCATGCCCTCAATACAGCGACCATTCGCCACGTATGCCAATCGTTGCGAGAGGCGTCGTTCTTCGTCTCGCAGGGCTTGTAAAACCAACTCAGACGTCAAAGCCATGCCGTCATGTATGTAGGCTCGAAAACATGTCACGGTGTCCTCGAGCCCACCTCGCATGCCCTCAATACAGCGACCATTCGCCACGTATGCCAATCGTTGCGAGAGGCGTCGTTCTTCGTCTCACAGGGCTTGTAAAACCAACTCAGACGTCAAAGCCATGCGCGCCACCAAGATTGAGGCTACCGATTGTCGCGACACTCAATCTACACAACTTGATGAAATCAGTCATCGGTACATATACCGTCTGTCTCTACCTTTACCCAGAGCAACCTCACCCGTATAATCGGAAGATATTTGTTGGCCTCCATATCTCCGTTCTTGAAATCCTTCGTTGCTTGTTTGAAGTCCGTTGGAGGGGAGTACTTACTTTTCGACGTCGGTGTCGAAGGATTTTTTTCTGGCTTCCTCTCTGGGATATTTGTAGCATTCCTCCCACCGCCAGGCTGGACTTCTTCCGGCAGGTGCTGATCTTGGCGGCCGATTGGAGGTGTCCGGAGGCACTTGGGCAATTTGCCAGGTAACGGCATTTGCTTTGCCGTGGAGCACACGACTAGGTGCATCGCCACCGCCCATTCCTCCCTGTTCAGCCGCCCGTCTCTGTGTGGAACGGCGAGCGTTGACGATGCGGCTGCCTCCGTATCGATCAACTACAAATAACAGGGTCCTTGTAATTGTATTTCGCCATCACGAACAAATTTTAGTCTCGTCACATTGATTCTTTGATGGAATTTTCTTCGTGGCACTGTGACACTGAGCACGAGCATGGCCGACTTGCGTCGACCAACATCTACTCGTTTGTTCGCGTGAACGAAAAAAAAAAAACAGGAGACAATAACCACAACAACGGTAGCAGCTAGACAACCACGTAAATAGGGAGGCGGGGATGATCGCGTTATGTGTGCGAAACAACAACCCCAAACAGGAAGGTTCGGTCAAGCCTTCCGAATGACACTGTTGGCGACGTCGTCTACAGTATCTATTTCTCCGTTGTTCATGTTGAACCATATTGTTGGACTGAAGCATGCAATATATACTTCACACTTCACTCCTCGCTCACTTTTCTACGTCGGCCATCACCCAGATCCGTCTCAGAGACTCTTGGGGCAGGCCGCTCTTGGAGAGCGTGCTCGCAGCCTTCGCGGGGCTGATGGGGGCCCCGTCGGGGCTTAGCTTGGAGAACGCCCGGTTGTACCTGTCCCGCTCGACTCTCGACATCTCGAACAGGCCTGCGAATCGATTCGGCAAGCAGGCGTGCACCACGGCGGTAAGGGAGGCGTGAGGTAACTTCCACCAGGAATCGACATGAAAAAAATTGGCCATGACGGCGGGGCGGAGGCAAAGACTCTCACGTGTATTTGAGGCTGCGACGGGCGGAAGAGGTGGGTTGAGACGCGCGCGTAGGCGAGAAGGGGGGTAACCATGGAGCTCTCGTTGCCTCAGAGCATTGGGCATCCCCTTGTAACGTGAGAGTGTTTGAGGCTGCGACGGGCGAAAGAGGTGAGTTGAGACGCGCGCGTAGGGGAGAATATGGGCACCATGGAGCTTTCGTTGCCTCAGTGAATGGGGCATCTACTTGTTACGTAAGACGCAGTTTGACATTCGTCGGTTGTTCCCAGGCACGGATGGGCACGAAATTTGATTGTCGTTTTCGGAATGAGCTACGGTAGTTCCACAGAGGAGTTCACCCCGAACGTACGTGCCACGACATCTAAGACGTGTACCTTAGCTCGAGTCACATCGAAAGTTTTCTGGATCTATTCGTTTCGGGAAGCGGGGAGTATGGCGATAGGGGGACAGCTGCTCCGTCGCAGACTGACGACCAATTGGTGTATTGGAACACGTGCCATACGTGCGTGCCATGTTTCCCCTTGCGTTGATCTCACCAGGACAGCCCGAATCCTGCCGACGGTTAATGCTGGGCAAGTCATCTTCGAACGTCACCCGGACTACGTGAACAGCTCTTCACACACATCTAGTTGCAAAAATTCAGGAAGAACGGATTGCATCGATGAGACTTCCTGAGGACCTCCGTTTTCCTTATCGTCACGTTTGTGGTCTAGCCTCGACGCCTTTCCTCCTCCCTCGACGTCAACATCTTCGCCCTCGTTTGCTGCTGCCGCCGACTCTGCCGCTGCATGTGCTTTGACCTGCTCTCCCTTCTTCTCCTTGCCCTTCTTTTCCTTCTTCTCCTTGCCCTTCATCTTCCTTTCGCCCTTCTGCTCGTCTGGTGTTCTAGTTGCTGCTGCTTCGGCTTCTGCTGCGTCCGCCGTTCTTTCGCTCCCCCCTTTTTTCTTTAGCTTGTGATTATCGGCACCGTCCGCACCTTCCTGTTTAGCAGCTTCCACGGTTGTGTATGGATGCAGCGAAGGACAAAGCAAAGTGATCTTCAGGTACTTCGGTTGAGGAAGGGTTAAAATCATGCCTTGGCCGAAAAGCGTATCTTGGACAACATCTTCGATCCGCGCTCCATCAGTTTGTGATGTTAGATCCGCCGTTCTTATCAGCTATTGTGGTTCTTGCACATCAGTATGGTTGGCAGGCGCACCAAAAGAATCCAACTGAAATCAATTTTCAAAATTGCGAATTCCAGCGAATTTTGGGGAATCGCCGTTTGAGGTGCCGTTGGATATAGGCCGTTTATAATATGAGTGTGCCAATCTCTCGTACTATCTGTGGAAAATAACAGCGCTAGCTGAAAGCGACTGCAAACGTTGCTGATTCTTTCGTGCAACAAGGTCACACTTGATTTCAGCCGTACATGGTGGCATCTGTTGTCGTAAGTAGGGATGGACTACTGTCATAGTGCAAGAAATATTGACAGCAACAACAACAACAACAACGACAACGGCATGAAGCAGCCACGTGGGGGGCATTGTTTTCGCCTCACGGTTGTCATGGCCCGTGGAGTGTGCCTGCTCCTTCCCGGCGCTTTTCCTCTGGGCGCCATTTCTGCTTTCTTTGCTGGTGGCTCCTTCGGCTCCGGCCTTCATGGTAGGCTCTTGTTCCACCTACACCCGCCGCGTGTTAGTTTATCACCACACCAAGACAGCGACAGGAGATGTAAGAGATGTAAGCGTGATGTCAGCAGCACACAAACTTGCGTTCACGACAGGTGTTCACAGAAGCTGCTGTGAACTACGCTTTGTGACGAATCAATTACCCTGGCAGCAGGATGTGATAGCCTCTGGAGCCAATATTAGGGAACTTTCTTCTTCAGAAGCGTGGGACAGCCAGTGTTTACATACTTGCGAAATTACTCCGGCTACATTCTCAAGAGACGGAGTAAGTAGTTTCGCCCAGCACGTGTGCCCCCCGGGCGCCTGAACTCGTCCTCTCGTTGGGGTTCACAAAATTTTCGAGAAATCGTAGAAAAACCACCCCCGTCTAGTTATGGGGGGAAGGGGCATTCGATGCTGGGTACATGCAAAACCGAGGGAAAACATGCACTTCAACTTTGTGCGCATCATACCGGTGGCGAATTGTGCTGTGGGATCTGTGCCGGTGGACACAGAAACCCACTTCTTGTAACCAAGGCGGGTTTCTGGTGAGAGGATTCGGTAGGTCAACGGTACAACGGAGTTTATCGGCGCCCGGGCGCCCTGGTAAAATCAACTCTGAATGATTACCATGGGAACATCTGGACCAAACCAATCGTGGGTTGGAGAGCCTGCTAATAAAAGTACGACCTCTTCCCCGAAGAATATGATGGCGGACACACTGCTGTGCGGGGGGAAACGTGAAAGTCGTTCCATACTACTAGTCACAGTGCGGACACATCCGAAAATGAAGGACTCTGTAACACGGTTCACGAATGTCGCGGCCACATCTCTAGGGGGCGTCAAGCAACAAGCCAAAGATAAAAGTCAAGGCACCTTGCCGTCGGCCCCACCTCTCGCTCGCCTTTCTCCTGCTGCTGCTGCTGCTGCTCCTTGTCAAAGGTCACCTTCTCCAACAGCTCCTTCTCTCTCTGCCTTGCTCTCGTCCTCACCCCGGCCTCTCCCTCGGCTTCCGACGCGAAGGCCTGTAGTTCCGCCGCTTTGCCCTTAAATCGACAACAGATGCATGAGCCCGAAACGTTTCATTGGCGTTCACGTTTAGAAAAACGGATCAACTTGTAGAGAGAGAGGAGGCGAGTAGCGAGAAGCTCGGAGGGAGAACGAAACGACCCAAATGTTCAAGCGCTATTATTTATCTGTCTGAGCAAGCAAGCTTGGGGGCATGCTACGAACCCTTCCTGTAGCGATATCAACAACAACAACGCGACCTGGAGAATGGGCCTGACTTGGTACTCTAAGGAGAAAGCATTTGCCCACGTGAACTCCATCGTTCCAGGAGGGGAGTTTATCTTTTACTCGTTCTTGTAAGCGGATTAGAGGAATGGAAGGGGTCGATGTTTGTTGCATTACACTCGGTTCGCCGAAGGTCCTCGTTCAAGATTGGGTGCGTGCACTAGTTGGCGAGTCTTTGAGTGCAATTCCAAAGAGAACATCATGCCTGGCGGAAGAGGAGTAAGACGCAAAATCTCGCCAAGTCACCCACTCAAAAAATACGTCACAATCTCAATCAAACACGCACACTCTTGTCGTTGGTCAACGGGTTAGCACGGTCAATGCTCATCAGAAAACAAGCAGAATCACGTACGTGACCCGTACCTCCCGGCACCGACGTCTTTTCAGTGGTCCGCTGGTTAGCGCGTACATGCTAACCAAAATAATACACAAATACACACACACAAACACAACACACACACTCGTTCGTCTGCCGCGATCTGCTGTCGAAGGCATGCGCGCGTTGTTGCTATTCAACCCGCTGTACGACTGGCATCTTGTCGACAGCCGGCTACACGGCGTGAATGACACAAACAATAGAAGCACGACAAGAGCACCTCAGGGAGGACTCTGAGGATGCCTGGTAGAACGGCGAGAAGGCGTCTTTCTCCGAACCTTTCCTGTCGTCGTTGGTTCAAGCAGGAAGGAAGGCGGAGCAACAGCATCATCATCATCATCATCATCAGTGCCATCAGGTTTGTTGTCACAAGAATCACTAGCGTATTTCTGCTGCTCTGTGTTTCCTATTGGATAGTCTATACCCGTCCGTTGCTCCGTATTTTTCCACTGCTTGGTAAGCTGTCATTGCAAAACCTATCCTTAGGTACTTTGCCATTGCTATCGCGAGAGAGTAGAGATCTTGTTCTACCCAGCTCACAGGTCGATTCATGTCTCATGCAGGAGGCAGCACAATTGCACAGTCATACGTTCGAAATCAGATGTAGAGAGCTCGAGCAGTGAATGAACAACTACGAGAAAGGATCCATCGAGGTGTCATGTGCTTGTGAGTCTACGACGATTTTTGGGCTCGCGTACACAGATAGTATCCCGTTATAAACGTTAGTCATTGCTTCTCTGTCAAAGAGAGCTCAGAAAGAGGCTACACTCATGCGCACCGAGTTTTGGCGAATGCCATCTCTTTCCGTTCCTCCTGAAGGTTGGTCAAGAACAATATCCCGGACTGATTGCTTGTTGCACTTGCACAATGAGGTTCTTGGGGCAGACATCATGGGCGTTTGCATGAACGCAGGAGAAGAATCAACCACTAGGACGACGACCCCCACCACGAATGGCACCACCAAAACCACCCCACCACCCGCGACAGCAGTAACACCACCACAGCTATCACGGCCATCACCACGAAACAACAAACAGCAAAGAAATAAGGCTGCAACAAGCAACCCCTACTCCCACCATCATCGCCCCGAAGAAGTGCGGCGCGGCCAGCCTCCCCGCGGCAAACTCCGAAGTCATCCTCTGAGCGTCCATCTCCATGCTGTCCCTCAGCTTCCTTTTCTGGGACACGGTTTCTGTCTTGTCTTTGTAACGTTCATTCCTTTCATCATCATCGCCATTCATACCGGCGCTTGGCGCTGCCGCCCTCGCCCGTGCCGCCGACCACTTGACGGCGTCGCCGGGAGCTGGGGTGACCTCGGTGGGACCCCTTTCGCCCTTTCTACCATCTCGCGGCGCTTTGTTGCTTGGCTTTACCTCCTCTTTTCCGTAGATGTCCCCCGTGGCGCCTTCTGCCCATGCCGACGCCCTTCACAAACCGGGAGATCAGACATTTTTAATATCTCGACAATGTGTGTCAAAAGTGCCGTACAATTAACAGGAAAGGAACAGGGCCCGACCAAGGCATAGGTCTTCACTTCCCGAGCAAGCATGTCCTTTACGGACAAGGCACACATGCCGCACCCTTTTTCCTTAGTGTGCCAACCGCCCACACTTGCGCTGTGGTTGAATGACTTTGACTAGGAGGGGGGCAGACAAGAGAGAGCGGGTGGGGCGCTTGGGGCGCTATTGGTTGAGGTCACGGTCAAATACGTCAACCCGCCGTGACACGCGGAGCAACATGTTGAGGCAGAGGTAGACCTTGATGAGCGGGGGGGGGGTGGGGTCGTCTGCGGTAAGGCCGGTACTGAACCTGGGTGGATCGTTCAGCCGCGAAAGTGCCGTACATCGGGCAAGACGGAAGGAAGTTTCACGACAACGTCAAGTAAAACGAGTCACGAAAGCGAACATTTTCACTCGGCAGATTCCTATGAATGAATCCTGCTCCCAATCAGTGAGAAAAGCTCGACATGAGTCAAAGGGACGGGTAACATGTGCGATGGTGTTCTGGCGCGCGAATACGGATGACGCAGCATCAGGGAGCATCAACCATCCAGCCTCCCCTACCGGATTTCGATTCAGGATCCCTAGCACATGCCCTACTAATATTACCCCTGTACCCTCCTTTTCGAGGCATTTTGGGCGTCGCGTCTGCCGTCACGAGGCTTACGAACTCCTCTTTCTCTTCTGGCCAACAGTTGCACGCTTTCTCACCAACCCCCTGACGGCAGCGAGTGACACCCAGATGTTGACGTGTAAATTGAGGAAGGGCATGCCCATGGCAATCCGAAGCGTTCATTTTGATTTATCTCCCCTTTTCGGGAAGCTGCTTCCTTTTCTGACATATTATATTCTGGTCTCACCAATCATCCCATCGGTCTCACAAACTCACTCGCGAGTCTCACTTCGGTGATAATTTGTTTAATGAGTTGGGCGATGTTCCCCGCCGACCAATGGCCCCAAGAAGCGACTTCGTCGGCTCCCTTCTCCTGCGCACATGCTCGCGAATGGAACACGCTCTTGACTAAATCCCGAACCTCCTTGGCCCTCCCTACCTGGTGGTGAATGGCGAGTTAGGCTTGGGGGAAATCGACCCCAGTTCGTCGTCATCGTCGCTGGGGTCCTGCTGGTCCATGCTGGTTGGCGGCCTCTGCCTCTGTCCAATAGAGCAATAAAACCAGGCACGCACACAATACTCTTGCCATCATTGATGCAGCACATTGTAGACCAGAATTTCGAACCTCCACGCCGTACACAGGTCCATTCTCGTCGCGCTTTGAGGCCATAATGCCAGGGCGAACCCGTCCACACAGGCGCGGAAGAATAAAAAAACAAATGGAACAACACAAAAGAGAGGCGGCATCCTGAATTCAGGGGCATCCGGGTAATACCGACACAGGTTGAGAACACTCCAAAGCAGGTTTGCTGGCACCGCTTCCCATGGTCACACGGAACGGGATGTCGTGCGGGCCTCTAGTTTTTTGTGCGGTTCCGCGCGCACCCGGGGAACTGACACAGATAGCCCCATCATGTCGAGATGACGAAACCCACCGAAAGCCGTCTCGTAACGCGAGCAGGATTCTCCACTATGTAGAAGAAGGAAGCGTAGCTGTTATTGGAGTGGTGTTCGTCATGCAATAAAGGAAGTACTTGTAGGTTGCCGCAAGAGGCAAACACGTGGGCTCTACCGCATGTTGCTGACGGGACCACAGACCGAAAGCTTGTTGGTGTTGAAAGGAAGATCCCCGGAAAACTCGAGGGTAACCTCACCCAATCCGCTTATTTTCAGCAATCTCAGTGGCCGTTTTTGTTGTCGAGATGCCGATGTTGGAAAGGTGATCCCAAGATTTCGTGGAGAATGGCACGACTCCCGATACACGCGCTACGACAGAGGAGCGAAGAACGTAGGCGCTACCTTCACCTACGATCTCTGTTTCTCCTGAACGCTACTGCCTCTAATCACGGGCACACGGAGAACCCTCTTCTCGCTGTCCCCAAAGCAAACTAGTATCCTCTACTCACACAAACCCGTACGATGTTCTAACAGAAAAATCGACCAACTGCGTATCCCCTATATTTTGACAAACTTCCGTCGCCTGCACCAACCCTACCTGTCCCTGCCGTCTGCACACGAGGCAAAATCGCGACGACACTTACTACTTCCGGACCACGCTGACACTTTGCCTTTCTAGACCGCCAGCGCGATGTGTCATTGCTGCAATTCAAGATTCTACGGAGCAGTTGATGGGCACGATACCCGGCCCTGCTGTACTTCAAAGTTCTATAGAGCAGTATGTATAACGGTTGATGGGCACGATACTCGACCCGCTATAACGTTTAGGGCACCACTTACACCAAACGTCCCTACTTGTAATGCTTTGCGTGTACTGTAAGAGGCGAAGGAACTCAAGATATGCACCTCACAGGAACTGAATTCTTACACCATAGCAGGGATACGTAGACATTATTGGGATGAAAGCGGACAGAACCCATAGGTTGCAGAACAAAGTCGCGCACTCACCACCTGGTCTCTGCCGCCTTTCCTGCCGCCGCCATAAGTCACACCAGCCCCCTCCACCAACCTTCCTTGCGGCTGATGCTTCGCCTTCTTGCCACCGACTCGTTCAGCACGACCAAGGTCACCCTGTCTTGGAAGGCCAGGACTGCCCTCGGCACCCGTGACCGCTTCAGAGGGTCCCGCCTCACCGGGAGCCTCCCTAGCGATGATTTTCTGATCTTTCATCGGAACAATGTCCGTAGAAACGAAGGAAGCCCTTGGCCGAAGGACCCTCGGTCGTCGCAACTTTGTGGCGCTGCCGCTGTCGACATGCCATTGATTGGCTAGCTCGCGCCGCTTCCTGTTGGAAAAAGTAGCCAACACCCTCGGCAGTACATTCTCCACCTGTTCTTGTTTTTCCAGTCGCGGTCAGGAGGGCGCTAGTCGTTTGGACATTCTGGACAGGTGCCATCAAGACACACGCTGTTGGTGTCGACCTTTCGAGCGCCAACGCTACTGCCAAAAAATGGGAAGTTTTGGTTCATGATTGAAACGTGGTCGATGTTTCTTGAATGTTGGCTTTCTTGTGTAGGAGAGCTCTTATCATGTTACGTCCAGGAGGCGCGTAGGTGCAGGCCTTGGGTCGGTTTTCGAGGGTCCCCGTAGCACAGAGGCTCAAGGCATCGCCACGCTGATTATTACTTCCCTCGTAGGAAGGCGGCAGGAGACGCGTGACGCTCACGCCAAGTGGTAAGTCGAGAACCGTGGAATTAGCACAGCTGAGAAGCTACGCGAATCACCGTGCGAGCATACTTGCTAGCGAAGGGTGGGAGTATTCATCGATGGGAGGATATCACTGAGAGGGACGTTCGTCCGAGATCGTAGTTCACTACCCCGGCTGGTGGTTGCCGGAGGGTTAGATCGTGTTTTGACGTTGAGACGCCCAAGTATCTCGCACACGCTCTGCTGCTGGGTGCGTGCTTCTGGCGGGCTCTTATTCCACAGGACACAGACTACGCAAACAAAAAGAGCAAACACTACAGGTCATGGTTGCTGTCAATATCCTCGCAAAAGCAGCAACCAGGAGATGCATACTAACGTGGGGGTGGCCGCGGAGGTGGAGGGCACATCGCTCACTCTTCGTTAGGGAGACGTTTTATTAGGACCAGAGAATACGGCTAAAGTGCGAGAGGTTTTCTCGTTTCCAGCGCGAGGGGGACGTTTTGCGTGGACAAAGCAGCATCTGTGCCGCCGAAACAGCAGCAGCAACAACAACATCATCAAGAACAAGAACAAGAACAACAACAACAACAACAACAACAACAACAATCAACAATGCAATTTTCGTTGGTATCAACATGTCGCTATGAATCTCACGGACCAGCGCCACAATTAGCACTATACCTGGTTGCCGAAGGCGTGCGAAAGAACTGTCTTCAACTCGGCAGCGCTGATCCGGTTTTCCCTATACATGGTTACGGCTTGATCCAAGTCAGGACCGGGCTCAGCGCTTGTTGAAAGGCCGCAAGAATCCACGGAGCCCCCTAAGGAAAACACCGATGCCACCGAACTGCAGTCGCACGCAGAGGATGAGTGACGGGTCGTTGGACCTTTCTAGGCGTATGTTATGTCGTGATGCACGGTTGCATGCGATTTTTACTCGTACGGTGGTGCCTGCTAAAAAAATAAGCACAAAGTTCCGGTTTCTGGTTTCTGGCGAGCGCACCTCGGAGGTCTCTGATCGGCAGCAACACGTCGTGAACGAAATCCCACTTTCCAATGAACGTGTGCATATGAACACAACCACTTCACGTCTCCAGAGTGACGAAGAAGGCTGCCACGGTCTGGGGCGCTGCGTAGCCACTAGTTTCCAAACTTCCAATTCTTAATTGCCCACCTCTCATCTCCTTGTCCCGGCGGCTCGGCAAGAGCAGTCGATTTTTTCGTGTTCCCTTTGGACGCCGCCTCCGCACGACGCCGTCTCGATCTCCGTAGTCTCTTCTTGTTCAGCCTTTCTTCGTGCTGCCGCTTGCGGTGAGCCTCCATCAAGGACCATGCCTTTTCCTCGGGCATGCGTTTGGCCGCCCTGGCGATCACGGCTTCTTCGATTCTTCTCCCTCCACCTTTCCGCTCCTCCATTCCGTCGACCATCTCGTCATAGAACTGTTCCGCGGATATGGAACCACGGAGGTACTTGACCGCGGTCGCTCGAAGGAAAATTTCTTCGTCACCGTCCCTGTGGCCGCCAGGGGAGAGTATGCCTCTTTCCCCGGTCACGGAATCGCCGCTTGCTGCTGCTAAAGCGGCGCTGGAGAATCGGGGTACAGAGGAGGGGGTGTACTCAGTTGTTTTCCAATATCCATGGCTTTTGGTCTTCTCAAGCGGCTCCGGAGCAATTCAGCCTGGAGCGAACAACTCTTGGCACACGTGTGTGGAATTGGAGTATTTATGGCAATGGCACTTTGTGCGCCAGCGCGATCCGAGCTGCACAAGGTTGATGCCCGGTATGACTTAAAATGAGAAGACAGCGGAGTTCATTGACCCGCATCGATGATGCGCCTCGATCGCACCTGTTTCCTTTGGCGTCTTCCTTCGCCATTGCCAAAGCACCTGCTTTCGCCCGGTCAACGCCACTCTTGGCTGCGTCCAAGTTTTGAATCAGGTGCGGATCGTTTGAAGGAAGAGCGGCCAGCATCCGGGACCAAGAAGCATCCAACCCCTCTCCATGAGTGCGCGTCAGGACTGCTAATACATCATAGGCACCTACTTTGCCCCCGGCGTACAGTTCCCATGCCGTGTCAAACTCGAGGGTGTCATCGGTTCCGCCGCCGTTCACTTTGTTTCGTGTAGAGTCTCCGGTCGTTGGACGCTCGGCAATAGATGCTTGCGCCACATCTGTTGCTTCATCCTGAGCACCTCCTTCCTCCCGCGAATCACTGCCGAAAGGCTCACTCCCGTCACTCTGGGCTTCGACGGCGTTTAAGGCGTCTTCGAGCAGGCGGTACATTGGGGATCCGTACGTAGCCGACTCGTCCATCTCTTCCACGATGCCCAGCAGTTCCTGTCCCCGTGAGTCGGTGAATGTTTTCCCGTCGATGCGCGAAGCGGGACAATAGGACAATTCGGGTGAACAGAACAAGGCGGGAACAATCAGGCCCGGCGAGTGCGCTAGGATATAGGCGTGCAACTAGAACAAGACCAGGTGCGGGTGAGCGGGATACATCGGATCCCGTCACAGAGTAGATGTTGCCCGTGCCGACTACTGTTCCTCTATTCACTCTCCGAAAGTATCCATGCCAAATATAAAAACCATGGGTAGCCGTTCAAAGGATATTGAGGAATTAGATTGCGAATCGACCAAGCTGCACCCTTCATTCGAGTGAACTAGGACCATCGAGTAGTACCCTCGGTGGCGTTGTTTGCGTCTGGGTCCACCTGTATTTGACCTGGACAGAAACCACAATGTTCCATGCTTGATTTCAAAATATCGAAGCCAAAACCTACCAAACCGGGAAGTAGAACTTAGCCCACATACATCGGAAATCAAGTTGGCAGGCACCTCCCCAATGCCCTTCGCTTTCTCCAAGAGCCACTTGAGGACATCTGTCCGCCCCGCAAGCACGGCTAGCATTGCAGGAGTTTGCCCCCGGTGATTTTTCTTCCATATATCTCCACCCTGGGACAGGAGGTACCCGAGACACTTCAAGCGGCCGCAATAGGCAGCAACGTGCACGCCGGTGTTACCCGTTCCCGGCACCTCATTTCCGTTTGCAAGGCAGTTGAAAAGAGAGATGCGCACTGGGTATAAACTTCATCGATGAGCGCATGACAAGCAAGATCTACATGGCACGTCAAGGGGGAATGAAAAAATGAAACGGTGAGAGCTTTCCCGTCAAAACATGTCAATGGAAGTGACGGACGTTTGGACGTGATAGTCAGAATCGCTACCAATACCATCGGCACGAGCATCACCAGCGGCGACAACTAAAAGGACAGCAGGTTAGGTATCAACTTTCTCACTTCTTCGATTAAGTTGTCCAAGGTGTGGCACCCGAGAATTGGCGATCCTCCACACAATGCAACACCAGCAACCCATAGATCTTGCTATGCCATAAACTCCAAGGGCATCATTGGAAACACCAAGTATCCTGCCTCAAGTGTCATGCTTGAACGTCATCGCACCTCCTCGAAGGCGACATCCATGAGCAGACGGTGGTGCACGAACTCCAGCGGGATAAGGGTTTCCGACATCGCCGCTAGATGGGCCAGTGTGCGCCCCTGCAGTTATAAGCCCAAAAGCGCACCAGAAGGCCAAGTTTCAACGAATGCCACGGGATGATGTAGACCCTCATTCCCTCCCACCCCCCGACGCAAGGCATTCCTATCGAAGTACGTCATGGGCATGAATACTCTCCTTCAGATGGATAAATCGACCGTGAAGCGTGTCCCCAACGAGGATGTTGTTTTACGCCGTCTTCCTTGAACAACCTTAACACACACTGGCATGGAAGGGCCAACATACACCTACGACGTAGTGAACCCTAACCATGGGCAATCACTCCACCAGGGCTCCATACTCACGTCAGGCGTTCGCAGCGCCCTTAGCGCTTCTGCACCAACCGTCTTCAACTCCAGCTCCAAGCTCAAATGCGTGCCGTGCCGAAACAAGTGGATTATATCCTCCAACAGCGCCAGCGTCGTGGATGAGTCCACCTCTCTCCCTCCTTCGACGCGCTCCTTCATTTCGTCTTGCGCTGTGCCCCCGTTACCCTCCCCGAGAGGCCTCCCAGCAACCGTTATTGGGTTTGCGGCGGGCGTGTTTGGGTCCGAATCAAGATTGGTTTGCTTGGCAAGCAGTCGTGGTCGGTCGTTAGTTGCCAAGGTTCGCTGTTCCAAGTCGAGCGGTGGCGTTGGTAGGAAGCCAAGCGTGGAGGCGGGAAGAACTTCTTTGACATACTCCCCAACACGCTCCTGAAAACACTCAGCAGCCGCAGTCCGAGGTGGTGACAAGGCGACACCAGACAGTGGCGAACAAGGGCAAGGAGGACCGAGGAAGACGGGTTGGATCATGGTCCCCGCCCAGAGACAGGAAGAATACGATACATTGAAAGGAAACTTAACTCTTCGCGTCACTCGCCCAGTTCGTTGAAAAAAGGGAAGACCATGCACACCCGAGAGCGCCACGTGACAGATCAAAACGGATCTTGATTAGCTTTCCAAACCTAGTGCTGGGGCGACTGTTCAAACCGAGGAGAGCCTTGAAGGCGTGAAAGGTTCTTGACTTCTGAAGCCAGGGAGAGCCAATTTACCCCCAATCACAAGATGAAGTTACCTCCCCACCGTCTCTCCAATTATCATCAGGTCCTCGTCGTACCAACTCCTCTCTGCCAACGCCTCTTCGCCAACAACTGCACAGCACATATCAGGCATCAATAGCTTGGCGTCCCGGGGTCAACCAGCACGCTTCATTGGTCCTATACCTGTACGGCAAACCCGAAAAGTTGTCCGCCCATGAAAACAGGGGCACCGTGCACTCCGTCCAACATCTCCTGTTCCGAAACAACCACACCAATTGCTGCCCGTTCATTGTGAGCAGCAGGGCCCACCCCTTTGCCCCCGAAACGCCGTCCTTCACTCGCCGCATTCCTTGCCTCCTTCTTGCCAAGATCGTCTGCTACACTTTCTCCCGCCCTTGACAATGTTCTTCGCCCCGCATCTTCTTCGTTTCGAGGCCTGTCCCGTTCCACTCGAGCGGCTTCTGTTGTTGCTGCTGGTTCTGTAGCGGTTCCCACCCCCGGTGCCACCATGTCACTTTGCACGGCGAGGCGATGCACGCCCTTGTTCCTCCCGTGCGCGTGCGCCACCATCTCCATCATAACAACACCACCCTGTTCGACGGAGATGGAAAACGGCTCGACAGGGTCCGGGTCGTTGGGACGCCTGTACGCCTTTGTACCTGGAAACACCCCGCCTCGCCGGACCCTCTTGTCGGCCAATCCACCGCCGTGCTTGGCATTGAAACCTGTTCTGGAATGTGTGCTGCGGTGTCGCCGCCGGTGTTGATATTTTTTAGATGCTGCCGTAAACGCTCCGCTCCCTGACATACAACTTTCGGTGGCCTCTGTGCGGTGCGTCCAATGCACCTCCCCTGCCGTTGTTCCTTCAGCAGTTGTAGAAACACCTACACCCGCAGTGGGTGACTGCAAACGCCCGCACCGCCAGAACCTCATGACCATCTCGGTGTACTCTGCGGGTGCTGGTATGGCTGGCGGGATTGGCAACGGGGGGAAGATCGGGCGATCGCACGCCGCGATGACCATTGACGCGTCCCTCCCCAGAGCCTCGTACAATACTTCAGGTCGAAGGGAAACCTTCGGCAGTAAGCGTGTCGATACCACGACCAGACCACGAAGTGATTACAACAGTCAACATCGTGTCTGGGACGGAACTGAGTACACCTCGGAAGAGGTAGGTAAGAGGAGAACATAGGTTCTACTTAGTTTACGGGTACACTGTCTGAGGATATTGCAACTTTGTGGGAACCCGCTGATCACAACAAGAAGACTCGCACTAAAAACTCTGCATGCAACGCGCGAATGACACTTCGGGCGATGCCTAGTGTTGCAAGGACAATGTGTACCGGCGCTGTAGAAGATATGCCGTGCCTCAGCTTGAGCTCAAACCGAGCAAAAGATAATAACCGATATACACCAGCGATAACGAGCTTCCCAGCAAAATTCTTCTTGTCCATCGAGAATGACAGTGCTCCAACACCCGGAAGACGCGGGCGAACGTGTGCAGAGGATTGTGCATCTTGTTTGCGTGTAAACGCATCTGACCGACATACCTTAACAGGGCATGGTATCCCAGGTAGCACAAAGTGCGCTGACGCGCTGGATGCGGCTACAGGGCTCGGCAAGAGGAGTGCACCGGCAACGATGCAGGAGTGTCCCTTATAGTCCAGCAAGACTCCAGTGCCCTTTACGTGGGACGGGTATTGTATGCTGACCTGCCACCATCGTGCAAATATTTGTCATGAACACCCTCCCTCCTCACGTCAAAGTCGTCTCCACCCTGGACAGGGAACGCGAATTGCTGCACGTCTCTCGTTCTGCATGTATTTTAGGCCAAATCTTTTTCAGCTCTCAGCTGGGTGTTCAGCATACACCCCTGAGTACCGCTCTAAGTTGGGTGATCTGTGACTGATATTTACGGACGTGCTCGGGACGTTTGACGTACAGCAGAAGTCAGCGGTTCGGGTATCGTCTGCAATAGTCAGTCTCTACGTGTACCTCAAAATATTGACCTGTAGTCTACGTATCAAGAATGAATGAATCGATGACTGGTGCACACGCGCAAAATACACAATTAACCGCAGTACAATGATGAAGTAGACCAGGCCCTTGCGCACGAGCAACATTATCGACGGGCTCTCAACCTGTTCAAACCTGTGAACGTAAATAGATTTCGCGCGGTCGATGACACAGCTCACCATACAAACGCTGTGATGATGAAGGTTCCTTCTAGTCACAAGTCCCTCCGAGTAAGGCGTTGGAGACTGCATTGTCCGTGCTTCGGGCAGAGCTATGTTGTATTCCACCCCAGTCCTGACCTCATTTCGCGCGTTGGAGCACGCTTTTTTGATGCGGGCGGTTTATCTCACGTCTCACGTCTCCCGGGCGTTCCGAATCGGCACCAAACACGCCGCACTGAACCTCAATACTGCTTTCAAGGTTCAATGCTCCGTGCAAATGGGGTGCTTTCATCCTCGCGTCGACAACCCCCACCCCTCTCCCCCCCAACCTACCATCATGTCGGAAGCCGGAGGAAGATCAGAGTTGGATCAGCAGGTGTGTCTCAATCAACCTCCTCCACGTAGACATTGCGCGGCACCGTAATCCAAGCGTGCTTGGTTGATCCTTACACCGTAGAATACAGCATTAGACCACAGGTGGAGGTCGAACCCCCTTCCCTAAGATGTCGGATGCCCTCGCCCCCTTGTGGAGACCTTGACAAGGTCGAACACCTTGGAGAAAACAACTAAGACCTCGAAAATACCTCCCTTTCGAGGCCTTGGTTGTTTTCTCCAAGGTGTTCGACCTTGTCAAGGTCTCCGCAAGGCGGCGAGGGCATCCGACATTTTGGGGAAGGGGGATCGACCTCCACCTGTGTAGGTCTCGTACTTATACAAATCATGGGTAGACTATGAATAGCACCCAGTCTTTGCGGCCTACGCCACTTATTTATCGGGTGAGACTGTTTTGGTGATGTATTAACTTCACGAGAGGTCAACGACCGTCCTTCACACGGACGAGAGAGGGAGTGCTCAAAGAGCGGCTCCTACAGCAAGGAGGGGCCCCGTGAATCATCGCGGTGCCCCCTACCAAACGGTTATCTTACCAGTCTGCGTGAAACAAAATCATCCAGCACATGTATCCAACAACAATGTTCGCAGACCCACGAACACCCTCCCTGGTTCTTCACGCAAGTGACTAACCATCAGTTGGGCAAGA